TATCTTATATGAGATTTTTAACTGATCAAAGCTTCTAATGAACATATAGGAGGGGAATTCTGGGCCACGGAAAGAGGAACAAGACTACGCTTTCTTGCTTCAGCTACTTTTCTGGTTCAAAAGATCCTTCAGGTGTTTTCTAAGCTCCCATTTCTACGTCTTTTAGGATTTCTTAATTCTCATATTGTCACCTAAGCAATCTAAAAGTGTAAAGTTGAAAAAATACCTCGGAAAGATTACATCTCTTGAACTGAAATTTGGTATATATGTTGTTGACCGCAAATCTAATTAAAAAGTTAAATTTTTGAAATCAACTATAAGTTTCAATATTGAAATCCCTTATGAGATTTAGATCTGAAGGTAAGAGACTTCATATCATATTTCAATTGGTTTGTACTATTATCTGTTCTTTCTATGTAGCATATTTAGTTCTAGGGAAATATAATAGCACGGTAGTTTCCGGGAACCTCTTCTTCTAGTTGTTGACTGGGTGGTTAATGCAGATGGGTCAATGAACCTCCTTGTGACGGTTGTGGTAACAAAACCATACCCCAGGGGATGGGAAACCCACTTACCTCAGAGCTTGCTTTTGGAGCAAATCGAGTTGAACTATATCGGTACGTGAATTACTTTGCAGTTCTGGATAGTCTTTTTTGTGCAAAAATTTAACTGTTTATTCTGAACTCATGGTCTTCATTCCAGGAGAGATTTGTAGGATTGTAAAAGCTTGATCATTCACATTATTTTCTGTTCTCGAACAAGAATTACTCGATTCTTACAGTACATTATTTTCTGTTCTCGAACTTTAATTTGACTTATTATTTTGTGATTTCACTATAAATTATACAGCTGTACCTTTTGCTCAAGAATTACTCGATTCCCTCGGTACAATGATCCGCTGAAGGTAAACTAAATAGCTTGTATATTGAAAGATACATGTTCTTGACTTCATTGACAGGTTCCATTTTACTTCCCTGTTCATACAGCTCGTAGAAACAAAGAGAGGTCGTTGCGGGGAGTGGGCCAACTGCTTTACGCTTTACTGCCGCTCGTTTGGCTATGATTCTCGTTGGGTATTCTTCTCACTAACATTGTCAGAACCCGCAAAAAAAATTTGGTATTTCTTTTATGATTGTAATGTGTTTGTGTAATATTTTCGTTCATTTACAGATACTGGACTTCACAGATCATGTTTGGACTGAATGCTTCTCTCACTCGCTGGGAAGGTAAACTTCATTTGCCAAACAAACGTCTATTGATATCTTTTGTAGAAAGTTTCAGTCGTGAAGTAATTTCTACCAAGTAAATTGTTCCGTTTTTTGTCATTCTGCAGATGGATACACCTTGACCCTTGTGAAGGAGTGCATGACAAACCCATGTTATATGAGAAAGGGTAACATTTTCTTGCTTCCCAGTTACCTCCTCTTTCCATGTTTTTATTTGAACAATATTCTCATTAAACTTCTGCCTTCCAGATGGAATAAAAAATTGAACTATGTTATTGCAATTTCCAAGGATGGGGTTTGTGATGTCACTAAGCGATACACTAAGAAGTGGCATGAGGTAATGCTACTGGAAAACTGCGAATGTTCTGTTTGGCTAAGAATCTGTAAGATCATTTCCATTCATCACTCCTGGTGCTCTGCTGTTGTTTTTCCTCTACAGGTTTTGTCTAGACGAAGTCTCACAACTGAATCATCTTTGGAAGCTGTTCTTCGTACCCTGACAAGGGAACGACGAAGTAGCTTGATGCCCCAAGTTTTATCTGCGCTTGAACTCAGAGACAGAAATGAGCAGCAAGAACTCGAGAGAAATCTGCATTCCCCAGATGATGCCTCAGTTTCTTTACCTGGAAGGCAAAGTGGGGACAAGGAATGGCGCGTTCTGAGATCTGAATTTGGTTCAGACGAAAATTGCTCTGTCAGCTCTTCCTCTTGCCCAGTTCGTATATGTGTTGATCATCATGTGACCAACATTTATGATTCATTTCTGCCTCTACTGACTCAATTCGTAGAGGATGATATACCTGTTGCAAGAGCAATTGAGGTACTTGAGATGATCAAGCGAGTCCTAGTGGACCTGAAGAATGCGCCTTACAAAACGAGGAAGGCTCGGGTGACTTTAGATTCAGATAGTTCAAGTTTGTCCCCAGAGCAGTTTCTGCCCACACTGGGCGGTTTGCTTCTTGCTCTGTCTTTAAAGAGCGCAAGAGACGCAGCCGATAAAAGTGTCACAATATGCTTGGACGGTGAACCCACGAAAACGGCTTTAGCATTGCCAGTTGCATTGGACGCTTTAAGGGAACTGGTCACTGACCTCAGCAAATGCCAAAACTTGAACAAAGATTCCCTCTCTTTTCCATTACTGAAACAGAACAGGGTATGCTCTGGTTCTGTCCTCGCAAGTGGTGAAGAGCTTCCTTCTGGCATTGTAAGTAGTAAACTGCTATAACTCTCATCTACCCAAATAAAACCGTCATGGTTATTCTTAGATATTATGCCTCGATGCCTCAGGCAACTGCAGCTTTTGATGGAATCCAAGAGTCCAAATGGGAGGAACCAAATGGTGCAAAAGGTAAAAAATTCTGGAACACCAATCGAAAATCGGTTACATGTTATAATGGGAATACCCATCTCTCCTCTTACAGGCTGTTGGATTGTGTACAAAGCACTCAACAAACAGATGCACCAACTCGTAGCATACGAGCTCATGTCTGCAAATGATGCTCCAGAGAGAGACCCCAAAGATTGGTAATATGCCTTTTTGCTTTTTTTTTAGAGTCGAAACATACTCATTTGGACTACTTTTCCTCACTGTATATTTGCGGGTTGTTGCCTTTTCCAGGGTTCTTGAAGGAAGTAGCGACGGTGGATCGTCATGGTCTGTTCTGGACAAGCAAACTTGTCAGGTATTCGAGGAGCGGTTCCAACGCAAATCCTACAAAATAACATCACCCGGATCCCAAGCAAATCTTTTCAGGTCTACTAAATATTTTATCTCTGATCTTCAACGCGGTTGAGTTCGCAATAAAAAATTGTGTTTTGAATTGGATTTTGATAAGACAGTCACAGTTGCATTTCGTTATCCTAAGGTTTAATGTTTTGGGTGGCAGGTTCCGGTTTTTGGCAGTACGAGACGTGAATTCAACCTCCAGACTTCAACTAGGGAGCATCGACCTGTACAGAAGCCTTCATTAATTATAATGATGCACATGAATGTACTTTTATGTATAACTATTCCATAAAGATTAAATTGTTTGTCTTTGCTTTCTGCAAATTGATGTGTTGGTGAGTGAATTGGCCTTTGTTGTTTAAAGTGTAACTGGAAAGGAAAGCTATTGTTTTTTATTGTTAAGCGGTAACTTCATGAATAGTCTGTGTTCTATCAGCAAAACCATATTTTTGAGCAACAAATGAAGAATATAGACAAAATGAAATTATGTATGTGAGTTTGGTTTTGTTCTGCAGTTTTTCGAGTAGGTCTCTAACCATAGGCTATTATGAAGAAAATCCGCTTTTGTATTACTCTCCTGTTGCCGGTAGATGAGAACGAAATCTGGAGAAGATTTCTTGAGTACTGCCAATTCACGTAATTCCAGTTGGAAACCGGGCCAATCGTGCGGTGATGCCACCATTTTCACTAACTTTGTTGAGTCTATGATGAACGTGGAACAAAATCGTCGTTTTCGGAGTAAACACTTCATTAGACCAAATGAGGCTATGGAGCTCTGTATGTAGAGGTGAAAGACTTTGGTGATTCCCTTCGAGTCCGAACAGCTCAGTAGTACCATCCTGGAGCTGTAAAACCCATCCCACTCCGCTTGTGTTATCTCCAACTTTCCACGAACCGTCAATCGAACATGTGAATGTATTGTGTGCCATAGAAGGTCCCAGAGAGAGACTTCCTGCTGGTGCTCGATTAGTGGTATTAGCCTATAGCCACTCTAAAATTAAACTTTAAATGGGTTTTGATTATAATAAACCTTAAATCCTAACATAACATAATTAACTCAAACGTAATTTGATATTTTAAGTAAATGATATTATATTAGTGATATTTTGAAAAACAAAAATAAAAGATGACAATTTTGGACCTGGCATTCTAAAAGTGTCATTTCTCAATTTTTTTCTTTTTTGTTGTATTTTTTGGAAGAAACAAAATTTAGTGATATTTTTTAAAATTGTGGTATTTTATATAGAAGTAATTATGTACTATTCTATACTGAAATAAATAGAATACTATACTGAGCATGTTCTTTAACAACACGCAGCCACAGCGGTAGCGATCAAAAATTTTACAAAGTAATAGTTAAAATACAAGTTAATTGGAGCCCAAGGTTATGGAGAATTGATCGCCGATAGTGGTTACGGAGACGCATCAGTCACTTTTCGTTGCCGCTAGCAAAACTCAGCGACACTTTCGGAGACGCAGCGTCACGATCTGGTGGTTATGTTCTTTGTTGCGTCAACGCCGTCGTCAATACAGTCCACACATGAATACAAAGCTTTTCTGTAACGTCGACGCTGCCACAAATGAACACGTTATCTATATGTTAATAAGGACAAAATGGTCCAAAATACATATTATACACAAATTTTATTTTTGGCTAGTAAATTAATTATCGATTTTTTTTGTGTTAGTTTTCCCAAAAAAAAAAAAATATTGATTTTTGTTTTTGTTTTTGTTTTAAGAAGCTCTGATGGGCTTTAGGAAACTCAGGAGAGACTTACGAATAGTCGTCTGATTGTTCTTCCTCTCTCTCTCGCTCGCTCAGATTTGGGCCATCTTCTCGATTAATTCCTCTAAAGCAAGCAAACTGCTTCGATCTTTCTCTTGCTGCTTTCGTTTTTAAGTGTAAGTTTTTTTTTGTTTAATTCCTTTTCGTAAGGTTTTTGTAGATCTTAAAAGTAGATCGGAACTGAGTCAAGAGGTCAATAAACCAGATCGCTTAGGGATGATCATACAGTCTTTGATTTAGGAATCGAAATTTGTTATGGAGCGGTAATGAAGTATTTGCACTGAGTTTGAAACCCTATCTCAAAACAATACTTATAGGTTTCTTATAAGCTGGTGCTGTAATTTAAAGTCGAATACAAAGAGATTTGATGTAGTTTGAAATTAATGTTTGGTCAGATTGTTTGCTATCTTAAATGGGTTCATCTGAGAAGAGATCAAAGGATGCCATGAGTGACATACCAACCTTCAGTGGAGAGAATCTGCAGAACAATTTGAAAGTCATACAGAACAGGTCTGATTCATTTACACAAAGCCTTTCTTGTTTTCAAAACATGTTCAATCCTCGTTTTCATGATTTCTTGTTTGCAGCCGCACGTTTCTGTCTATCATCGCTGGTGTACTTGCAGGAATAATTGGATTCACAGGCTTGACCGGTTTTGTCTTTTACTTTGTGGTCATGTTGATCACATCGGTTGGGCTCATGGCCAAGGCAGGATTCTCAGCGGACTTGTACTTTGATTCGTGGAATCGTGTTCTCTTTGACGGCTTTCTGGGTGGCCTTATGGTATGCCAACATTTCCTTTTTCTCACATATTTTGTTTGTTTCTTTCAAATACAAGTCAAGCTTCTCAGTTAGTATGGGTGATCGGTTGCTGCAGACTCCTATTTATCTTCTTGTTTGCTAGTATATTTGGTCATAGGAGTAGACTAGTCTTTCTATGTGCTTTTATCGACGCTGTTAAGCTCACTACTAATGACGCTGTTGTGTTCTCTTTTTGGCAGTCGTTTGTGCTCTTCTGGACGTATCCTTAATTCTCAATCAGGTGGACACTCAGTTTATGAAAATGTGATAAAGTAAATCTCAGGTTTGATTTAGCTGTTGTGAAAGAACATCTGAATGGTATCGTGTAGGTAAAAATGATTAGCTCCGTAATAATCGTGGTTTAGTAAACCTGTGTTTAACCTGGAAATGGCCATTTTTGGTATAGTAAGTTAAGAGAAAAAGATGAGTAGAAATATATATGCAGATTTGAAAACAGCTCTCTCTCTTGTCTCTGTTCCTTTTAGTATGTTTCCTTAACCAATGGAGTAGATTTGCTTATGACTTGGTGCACATATTCTGAGGGATCTTCAGCTCCAAACGAGGAATGGTGAAACAACACAGAAGAAGAAATTATGTTCTTGATAGAGTGGTCAATGTTTCTCTGGTTCCCTTTTTGAACCAATAGATTATGAGTTACCTTTTTTGTTTTAATTTTATTCGAGATCAAATCAACTGTGAAACCTTTGTATTGAATAATTCAAGTATTTACCCTTTCTTCGAATTTGATGTTTCCATTTGTTTTTATTTTCTGGCAGTGTTATATCTGATCATACAAATGGGATATGTTTGTTCTCCATTGTAGATGGGCAAAACCTCCTCTTCTAANTCCACTCGAGTCTCAAAATTACTGAATCGTAAAGGATTACAAAATGAATCTCTCTCAGTATTGACCCTAGTCTCTTATAAATCTAATTTTGTAAAGCTGTGGCTAAAGATATCATCACCGAGGTTTCTTCAAAACCCATCCTGAAGAGTTCGTTTCACAGAAATCTTTCATCACCTGCAGCAACACCAAGAGTCAGACTAAGACACACTTTGCTCAACACACAAATGTCAAAGAGAGCTCAAGTGAATAAGAGACCTTTGTGTATTCGTTGGTGGTAATTTCACGACGAAGCTGGGTCCTCCCTGCTTCCAATACATCAGCCTTCATAATCTTTGTTCCAGGTACAGAACCGAGTAACAGCTTGATCACCACTTCCCTAATGATAAAAACAGAGATATTCAAGCTTCAACAGAAACATAAAGAACCAATATTATTATTTTCCAACAATAAATTACCTCAAAGGATCATATTCTGTATGCTCCGGACACGACTTGGAGACAAAAGAGCCGTGAATGTTAACAGCTACTTCACTTATAACTTCTTGGAGCTCTTCTTGGTGAGCATTCACAGCTAATGCCACAAGCTGTGCCATGCTTGAATCAGCTTTTGGTTGATTCGATGTGGAAACCGCAAGATCCCTAAGTCCTTGGCATAACGTCTCGAAGCTGCACACAAACCCAATGAAATCCAATTATCTGAAAATTCCAAGTTCAGATAATTGCACACAATAAAAGACTCACCTGCAAACTTTGTGAGTATGAAGCACCTTTTTCAAGCCCTTTACTAATGCCTTCCGAGTTTCTTCTGGCATTTTTTGTCTCACAACATGGGGTATCGTATTTCTTGAACTTCCTCCTTTGTCAGCGAGAGTTGTTGGGGTCTCCGGTTTAACTGAAACTGAAGGATTTTTGCCAACAGCATTCCTCGTGTTATCACCTCTACCTTTCGCTCCTTGATTTATCTTTGCTTTAAGCTTCACTTCCATAGCATTCCAAACAATATTTTGCTCCTCAACAATCCTCGGGTAGGATTTTATGAAGGAAACGTCAGTGGGCTCTTTGAATTTCCAATCGCATAGCAGAGGCCTTTCTTTGGCAAATACGTTCAACATAGTTTTCACCTTGTCCCTAAGGCGACCAGTTGCTTCAACTACAGAGTACTTTATAGTTGAATCCTTGCTGAACAAAGAGAGGACATAATCCCTGGAAGCTTCTACAGGCCCGTCTAGTTTTAGTAGCTTAGTTTTGGGAGTCCATAAACCTTGAACTAACACGGCAAATTGTTGAAGGACCCTTAAGAATTCCTTGTCCGAAAAATCTGGGGCATAATGCTTAAGAACATTGTAACGGAGCAACGGAGATCCCTGTGAAAATTGAACAAGTTACTCAGATTTCTTATATTAATATTTTATTCATTACTTCCGAGAAGGATCTTCATCTAGAAAAACTCAAAAGTACAGGAAACTGAAAATGCAAGCACTCATTGAAAAAATCTAATTATAATAGCTACCAACCTCGCAAAGCAACTTTTGCAAACGTTCTTCAAGTGGTAGGGAGGTCAAAGTCCTGAAGCATAAGACTATATCTTAAGGAACGTAAGAAAGGATGCAAATGACACATGAGACCAGGCCCTGATAAACCTATTAGACGGAAACCAATATTGGGAAAATATGAGAGACGGTACCTTTTCAATGAATCTTTCGATTCAGAGTTTTTGAAGCTTCCCCCATGGCATAGTGAGTTGATATAAAGGTCCCTTCAATGAAATACCAAAGGATATTAAGAACAGAAAAAAGAGTTTACGGTTAAATT